AAAGAAAAAGGAAATTGAGAGAGGAACAAGTAGCAAAATTAGGTGATTGAACAAAGGTTTAAGAGGTTCTTTAGAACTGCAGGCATCAGCGTTCCCGGGGGATATGCCAGCTTTGTCTGCTGATAGCAGACCCTGGGAATGAGCAGCCAAATTGCAGGTCACAGCCTGGAATTCCCCAAGTACCTCCAGAATGTCTGCACTAAAATGACTCAAACTCAATAAGAAAGGATGTCAGATTTGACCCCTGATGGCCCAGTGGAATCGGAGCAAACAGTTGGATTTAAATCCAATCAATCTTGTCGGAAAGGTGATTGAACACCCCTTAGAGCAAGGATTGTCCTAAGTGCATGGACTTGGGCGAGTAATTGATCTCCTCAGTGCTCTACAAAACAGATGTCCTGCAGGGAGTTGTGGAAATGAGTTAGAAACTTGAGGAGGAATGTGGCTGCCAGTAAGAAGTCCTTATCTCTCTGTAGTATTCATAGTTGTGCCATTATATATCAGGTCTCCATTACCATGATCTCTAAATACCTCTGAAAGTCAAATGTGTATTATCAACACCGCACTGGCCAGGTGGTAGAGCTGACATTATCTTCAGTTTCCAGGTGAGAGAGTGCAAGAAGGACTGACTGCCTGAGGTCTTGCGTGAAGAATTTGGACATAGGTCTGTCAGATCTCAGGTTATTACCAGCTGTATGTCCTCTCGGAACCAGGCGTGCTGCTGCTTGCAGCTGGGCTGAGATGGACCCCTCTGAAATCTTAAGCAGAGAGGAGCTGTGCTTCTCTCTGCTGTCTTTAAACCAGAAGTCCCCAACGTATAATCCATGAACCGCTTGGGTTCTGCAAGTCTCAGTGTGTGGTCTGCAAAGGTGCCCTGATTTTTTGCCTCTGTGGAGCATAAAGGCATGATATTACAGAGGATCTTTGCTGTGCAGCTAAAGCCAGTGTTGTGCCTGGCATGGGACCCTCCTTGAGCAAACATTTTGAGAGCCTGTGTTTTAATCTATAAGAGAGAAAGGTGCCGTAGTGTTTGTGTCATTAAAGGGACTGGACATTTTTCAGAGTTCTTTGCTCTTCAAAAAAAAGCACATCAAAAGGTATTTAGATTCCAGCTTGCCCTGGAAATGGCAGTCCTTGTTCTCAGCAGCCCATGGAGCATGTGTGAAGTACCTGCAGTTGCTCAACACTTTATGCCAGTTCGTGTACATTAAAGGAGGTTTGTCAACTGGAATTTTCTCCCCTGTACCAAAGTCAAATGCAAAACTGTAAAATGAACATGTGGGAAGCTCTTAACCTTTCCTGTCTAGCCATGACACACTTGCTCACATTATTTATGGGACAGTTCTAGCTATTTTGGATTAATCAATCACTCTATTACAATGTCAAAACTATGTCGGCAGGAACTGTGTTACTTCTTGGCTTCAAGGTAAAGAGTCCTTTCTGTCCTGTGTTGCTTATTCCACTTCTGCCCACACGCAAGACATCTCTCCTAATTTTACCTCTCTTGACACGACTGTGCTCCTCAGTGGATGCCAGGTTTAGTACAAGACAATAGGGCTCTTTCATCATGAATAAAGCAAACCACATACTAGGCTAAATTAGGGGGAGCAGGGCAAACACATCAAGGGAAGTTTATTCCACTCTGCCTCATGCTGGTGAAACCGCAAATGGTTCCAGGTTTGGATTCCCAGTTGAAGAGGGATGCTGAGAAACTGGAGAGGGTGTCTGGGGGACTCCGAGATGGTCAGAGTCTGCAGCTCATGACTACACGGAGAGGCTGAGGGAGCTGGGCTTGTTCAGCCTGGCAGAGGGGAGGCTAGACGGGGAGCTAACAGCCACCTACATCTGCTTGAAAGGAAGTTACAGGGGCAACAGAGCCAAACTCTTTTCAACAGAAGCAGGCGGTGTCAGGGGCTAGTGGTGACAAATTGTGTCTTGGGAGGCTCGGGTTGGACATTAGCCTCCCAGTGATGAAGTTTTTCTTAGCACGTTCACCCAGCCCCGGACAGAGTCTCATACTCCAGGGGTTTGCAAGACACAGCTGGACAAAGCCGTGGCTGACGTGATCTAGTGCTGGCTTTGAGGCGTTGGACTGCAGACCTCCAGGTGTCCCTTCCAACCGAGGTTTCTGTCCTCTCCTCCCTTATCTGTCAAAGCTGTTGCATATCAGACTGGTTTGTTCTTGCTTTTTCCTTGCTAGTTCCATAGCTCTTTTAGTCTCTCTGCACCAATTCTACTCAGCCTTCTCAGTCTCTAAAATACTGCTCTTAAATTGTGCTTTTGGGGAGTACATTTAGCCACCTCGTCTTTTCTATCATCAGACTTCTTCAGACTTACTCTTTATCCTCAAAAGGGGCTTGCACTTCTCTGGCCTAGCTTCTTGGTGACATATCCTTCTGCTCTCACCTCTTATCTTCTGTCTTCGCTCTTTGAGTCTTCGATTTCCTCTTTTCCTTCCTTGTGACTTTCTGGAGTGCCAGTCAGGATTTGTTCTTTTATATCGACGTTAATCTGTTTCCTCTGAGCCCTTGAATCACTTCCTGTTCCCCAGATCTTACATCTGAAAGCCCTTGTAACATATAAGCGTGCCTGTCTGTAGAGCTTAGTGCACAACCCTTGCAGTTCTCATTGCCACCGGGTTCTTGAGTTCTGGCTCCAAAGCTGAGGGTGTTGCAGGGCTTGGTTCCATTCTCTTGTTTCCTCGACTTTTTCTTTTGTTGTATTTCTGTAGATATGCTTGGATCTGGGCAGAGAGTGGGTTTAGGGCTAAGTTGTAGGCTCGCACAAGAATCAAATGTCACTATGAAGTATGAATAAGACTTTCAGTTCTGGTAGCAAGAAGTGCTGCAGCAATCACTACTGTAAAGTCAGGCTTACAACGTCCACCTTGCAGTTTCTTTATTAGCATTTGAAACAATTGAAAAAAGGGGCCCCATCGATAGTGACTGGTACCAGACCTGCCAGCTGAAAACATGCAGTTCAAAGCAAAACCTCCTTGACCCTTTGTCCTTCCAACACAGGTAAATGCCCTGTACAGCTGTTGCTGCTCAAGGTGAGACTTGAGCATGAAACCAAGGTTTATGTGGATATAAAATCGCAGCATCTGCGTCTATAAATGCCCAGAGGATCAGTCTTTCCCTGCCATTGCTAATGGGAATATTTGTCTGTCATCTTCTGTCCCAGAGCAGGTTTATGGTGCTTTTGTGGTGTTTCAAGCCTGGAGTTTGTGGCTGCCCTAACCCTTCTTCTGTTTATACAGCCAGTTTCACCACAGGGCGACATAAGCAGCACGGAGCCTTTTTGAAATTCTCGCCGTAAATGACTAAAATCAAACTCCCTGCGTGCGTCGTCCTCTTATTCTTTTTACTTATAAGTGTCATAATCATGATTTGTAAAAGTCATTTCAGTGAACACTTAAACACAGTGAAACTGTCTGTCTGTTTTATTGAAATTGTTGGTTCCCTGAGACAGAAATGGTGTTCTCTTCCTGCGTGACACCAAATAGAAGGTCTGTGCTTAGCGACTCATAATGGTATCATTCATATTGGAATAATTTTTTTTTTTTTCTCTCTTTCTGCAGCCCCAGGCTGTCCAAACTTCCAGGTTGGGTTTTGAAAGATGGAAGCACATTTCTGGACAAGGTACTGTACTGATGGTTAGAATTTTCTTGCCCTGCAAAAAGCTACCTGACAGGTTAGGAGCTTGCGCTGCAGGAACAATACTTCCATGCTGACTCATTGCAAAGGTTTCTGCGTGTACCCTTACCAGCCATGATGTCCTTGTAGAGCAGAACGTTTTGAAACAAAATGCTAATAGGAACTCTGAGGCTTTCAGTCTTCAGAGGCAGCCGAGCTTTTTCAACAATCCTCTTAAAATGCAGAAATCATCGGTATGAATATTTTCTTTTTTCATGGAGCTCCATAAATAATAGTGGTTTGCCTTCTTACAGTGCCTTTTATTCAACAGTCTCACTTTTCTGACACTAAAGCTTCAGAGCATGCCTATAAATGAGGTTGGTGTCGTACCCTTTTTTAGGCCAGAGAACTATGAGAAAGCGAATGGTTTGCCCATGGGAGGTCTCTCATCGAGGAAAAGCACGTCTTTGGCCTCTGAAATCAACATGTGTTCTGCTGCTGGACGTAGCAGGGAGGATATTATCTCCAGCCTCCTAATTCTAAGACACAGACTTTGCTACATGAGAGAGACAGAATCTTTCTTTATTCCCTCCTTTTCATTACGTTAGTTTTGTAGGCAGAATTTATCTGGGTCTTCAACCAAAACTAGGCACTGCAGCATCCAGCTTGATCTGCAGTAGGGGAACAATGAACACAAAAATATGTCAGACGCTGGTAAAATGGGCAGATACATTTCAAATGTGTGCAGCGATAGGTATCAGTAGAGAAAATACTGGTTTAATAGACTGTTCTCTGACTATGGGAACATTAAAGGAAAACAGTAATAATAGTTGCTTTTGTAAGGGACTTTGAGGTGGACAAAATGGTTTGAGCTGATTTTTACAGGCAAGGGAGCTGAAGATCGTAGATTAAAGACCTGATTTTTCTTCTCATTGGAGACAAAAGAAACTGTATAGGCAGCATTTCTGTTAGTAAAATAGTAACAGCTCTATTCCAGAGCACATGCTAACTGGCAATCGCAGAGCTGCAGTGGCTCAGTCACAGGAATGGAGTTGCCCAGTTGGAATCCCCTGGAATTTGTTTCTCCTGAACCCCAGCCTTGGTCTCAGAGCTTTGGACGACGTATTTACATTTCTGTGGTACCGCTGCTGCAGCGTACGCTCAGGAGAAATCTTCAAACTCACGCAGCGTCAGTGGAAATCATGTGTTAAAAATGGAAAGGCAGCATCTCTTACCTTCACCTTGACCATAGTAACTGCTTGGAATGGTAAATTCTTTGACCCATGCTGGAAAAAGGCAAGGGAAGGAGTCAAAGGGGGATGTTTTATCATGTCGGGTGGACATTCCTGTTACAGCACTCTCTGGATGACAGTTATAAAACTTCAGTCCTGGAGAGGCATTGAAATTTGCTGCGATCTAGTTTTAATCATTTTGAACTCCCTTGAGATGAGGTTAGGAGACTTCTGCCACTAGATGTAATTGCTCATTCGTTATTAGTTGGCAGGTGCACTGTAATTATTAAGAATTGGATTCAATCTTTAATTCTGTCAGTCTGAAGCTGGCTGAGGCCACTCGCTTTGGGCCAAGCAAGAGAAGCATCCACGAGAGAAGGCAGCGTGGGTGATAGGTAGCCCGTGAGGTGCGTTAGGACTAGAGTTGGGAATATTTTTGTTCCATACGTAATCCTGAAGAACGTGTCTTTTCATGTGACAAAGATTTCTGATGTCAGCCTTGAAAAAAGAGGAAGAAAATAGAGGACTAGAGATCCAGTGGAGATAAATCTAACAAAAAGTGCCACCTGAAGCTTAGATCTCCAAAAGACGTTTCATCAAATGCTCCGAGACAGGGGCTAAAAATTGTATTCTCCTCCTAATAAGGCAGAAAAGGTTTGATGTAATTTGGAACCAAAACTAAATTCCAAACTTGTAAGATAGCCTGGGCACTGTGAAGGTGCTGTGCACACCTTCCAGGTCAGGAGAGCAGCAGTTCCGAGAAGAGCG